GTTTCATGTTGATTAACAGGCCCATCCTTATTAGGAGTCCTATCATTACTCCCTCCTGCAGCAACAGCCTTGTCCTCAAGGCTAAAATAAGGAAATTGACTTCGCAATAGTCCCTCATCTTCCCAAGTTGCCTCCTCCTCTGTTCTCCCCTTCCATTTAACCAACCATTGTTTAGTAATAGTACCACCCTCAGGGATCTCCCTGGTTGCTAACACTGTCTCAGGTTCTTCTTGATCTTCCTCTTCCAGACTCAACTCTGTTGGTAAAGTGGGTTCTACCGCATGATTACCAATAGCCTTTTTTAATTGAGAAACATGAAAAACTGGATGTACTTTTGCTGATTCCGGCAACTGCACCTTATAAGACACTTCTCCCTTCTTCTCCACCACTAAGAAAGGCCCATAATACCGAGGTGCCAGCTTCTGATTAATACGTCGGGCTATGGTTACTTGTCTATGGGGACGCAATTTAATAAACACCCACTCTCCAACCTCGAACTGCATGAATCTCCGCTTTTTGTCTGCAAATTTCTTCATTTGCTGCTGGGCTCGCAGCAGATGATATTTCAATTGTCGAATAGCTTCATCTCTATCAACCAAGTCAGCGGCTACAGCTTCCACACGTGTTTCGCCCTGTGTAAAACGCACTAAAGCAGGTGGTGTTCTCCCATACACAATTTCAAAAGGGGTCTTTCCTGTTGCTCCATGAAAAGTAGTATTATACCATAATTCTGCCCAAGGTACCCAATATGACCAGTTCTTGGGCTGTTCCGACACAAAACATCGTAAATAAGCTTCTAAACATCGATTTACCACTTCCGTTTGACCATCAGTCTCAGGATGATAAGAAGAACTCATTTTTAAAGTTGTTCCCTGTAATCGAAATAGTTCCTGCCAAAAAAGACTCATAAACACAGGGTCTCGATCACTAACAATCGATTGCGGAAGGCCGTGAAGTCGTACAATCTCCTTAGCAAATAATTCAGCAATCTTCCTGGCAGTATAAGGATGTTTCAATAAAATAAAGTGGCCATATTTAGACAATCGATCCACCACTACAAATATAGCTTGAAACCCCTTAGATTTTGGTAAGCCCGTAATGAAGTCTAGGGAAATATCTTCCCAAATCCTATCTGGAATAGGCAGGGGCTGTAGTAATCCAGCTGGAGACGTTGCTTCATATTTCTGTCGTTGGCATACATCACATGCTTTAACAAACTCTTGAATTATCTTCTTCATTCCCGTCCAGTACAGATTTGCTGCGATACGTTTGTAGGTTCTTAAAAAACCCGAGTGACCCCCTACTGGTGAAGAATGAAACTCATTTAAGATAGTAGGAATTAAATCTGACTTAGCTGACAATACCAAGCGTCCTTTGTAAAATAATACTCCTCTTTGCAAACTGAAATCTGCAACAGATGCATCTTCCTGTTGTAGCTTCTGCACCACTTGCTGTAAAAAAGGATCTACTTCCACTTCCTCTTGGATATGCTGTTCTTGCAACCATAATGGAAAAGACTGAATCTCCCTCAATTCACCCGCTTCGAACATTCTTGATAGTGAGTCAGCAGCTTTATTCTCTGGGCCCGGTTTGTAAATCACCTCAAACTGATATCCTAACAACTTTGCCAGCCAATTTTGTTGAGCTTCGGTGGTGATTTTTTGATGTAAGAGGTGTCTTAAACTCTTCTGATCTGAATACACCTTGAAACTCCTTCCAATCAAGTATGGTCTCCAATGTTGGACCGCCAACACTAATGCCATTAATTCTTTTTCATAGGCTGACTTGTTAACATTAGTCGGTGCCAAAGCTTTACTAAAATAAGCTATCGGTTGTCGGTCTTGCATCAATACTGCTCCTATCCCTGCCCCTGAAGCGTCACACTCAATTTCAAACGGTTTAGAAAAGTTAGGTAAAGCCAATAGGGGAGCTTGAGTCATTACCTTTTTTAATTCCTCAAAGGCCAATAATGCATTTGGACCCCAATGGAAACCATCCTTCTTCGTCAATTCCGTAAGGGGCCGAGCAATCTTGCCATAACCCGCAATAAATTTTCGATAATACCCCGTTAATCCCAAAAAACCCCTCACACCTTTGACATTATGAGGTATGGGCCAATTTATCACACTTTTAATTTTTTCTGGGTCTACTGCAACTCCTTGCTCAGAAATTAGATGACCCAAGTATTCTACTTGCCGACTCCCAAAAACACACTTTTTTCTATTGACCATGAAAGATTGTTCACACAGCAGCTCAAAGACTCTCATTAAGTGCTTCAAATGTTCATCCCATCCTTTACTGTAAACTAGTATATCATCAAAGAATACTAGTACAAATTTCCTCAAATAGGGCTTAAAAGTCTGATTCATAGTAGACTGGAAAGTCGCAGGGGCATTTGTCAAACCAAAGGGCATCACTAAAAATTCATAGTGACCCTCATGTGTCCTGAAAGCTGTTTTATGAACATCTTCCTCCGCCATCCGTATTTGATGATACCCAGATTTCAAGTCTAGTTTAGAAAAATAAGTAGCACCATATAACTCATCCAATAACTCCTCTACCACTGGAATTGGGTATTTGTCGGGAATTGTGACTTTATTCAGCTCCCTATAATCCACGCACATGCGCCATGAACCGTCTTTCTTCTTAACAAGAATTACCGGGCTGGAAAAAGCGCTAGAACTGGGTCTGATAACTCCTTGTGTCAACATCTCTCCAACCTGTTTTTCAATCTCCTCTTTATGGTGATGTGGATACCGATATGGTCGCACACTCACGGCTTTTGCTTCTGGCTGCAATGTAATAACATGCACCACATTTCTATAAGGAGGCAGCCCCTGTGGCTCTTGGAATACAGTCGCATAACCCACTAAAATCTGTTGAATATCTTCAACTTGTGTCTTTGATAAGCTTTGCTTCGAAATGGACTTTTCTCCCAAACTATTCTCCTTCACCACACTCTGGAAAGATGTCATCAACGCTATATGCTGTCCGTGTTTTCTCAGTTTCTGACCTTGTAACTCCATATATTTGTCCTGCCAAAAAAAACTTAGCGTCATCTCTTCCCAATCAAAAGTAACCTTTCCAAACCTTCGCAACCAGGAAACTCCCAAAATCATGTCCACGTTCCCCAATTCCAACACATATGGCTCTACCGTAGTAGAGAATTCTCCTAATTGGATGTCCAACTTCTCACATTTCCCCGCTGTAGACACCCTATGTCCATCTCCCAAACGTACACCAATCTGTTTTCTTTTGTCCACTTTCAACTCCAGAGCAGCCACTACAAGGGGAGAAATGAAATTATGACTGGCCCCACTATCAATCAGCACTCCCAGGGTTAATCCATTGAGAAGACCCTCTATGCGCAAAGTTGTAGGGTTATTCCGACCACCCCATGGTACTTCAACTTCTGCGAACAGCCCCATAGACCCACACTCCAAGTTATGGTCATCTTCCTCCTCTTGCGTCTCACTCGTGATCACCTCCCCCGCTTCATTTACTGTTTCGTCATCCGCTAACACCACCATTCGCAGTTGCCGCTCTGTGCATCGATGCAAGGGGTGATACTTTTCACCGCATCGAAAACAAAGCCCTTGAGCTTTCCTGTTCATCAATTCCGCATACGGCAAATGTTTCGTACCGCGATTTCGGTCGGCGGTCGGAAAACGATCACTTGAAACGCGACTGCCTTGCGTCGTCGAACGTGACTCATGAAGGCTGGAGCCCGCTGCCGATAATGGTTTATTTGATATGCTCTGGGTTGGGCCTAACCCAACGCCTAATTTCCCTAAATGTGGGCCTTGACCCGACCCGGATCCAGACTTCTCTCCCTGACCCGTACCCCAATCACGATTGCTTTTCCACCCTCGTAATCCTCCTCCACGCTGAAATCCCTCTCCCTGCACTTCTGCTTCCACGTCTCGAGCTAGGCGCATGGCTTGGAGACGATTCATCGGGTTGAAGGTGCGAACCCTCCGCCGAATCTCCGGTCGCAACCCTCCAATAAAGTAACCCAGATATTGCTCCTCTGGTAAACGAGAAACTTGAGAGGAGATATATTCGAACTCCGCTAGATACTCATCTACGCTGCCCGTCTGCGACAAATCTTTCAACTCTTCGAAAGGATTACCGCTAGTACGACCACCATAACGACCGATCAACTCTCTTTTTAACTTTGCCCACGACAACCCCACTTCTGCTTCTTGTAGAAGATTAAACCAATGAATGGTTGCCCCTTCCATGCTTAGTTTTGCCAATCGGACCTTCACCTCTTCTGTAGAGCCGTGCACTTCAAAATATGTCTCTGCCCTGGTAATCCATCCCACAGGGTCAGTACCATCAAATGATGGCAATTCCACCTTCTTTGCTGCCATCCTGTACTCTGCCCCTGAATCCATATCTGAAAACGGAGATTCTCGACGCTCTCCCGCTTGCTCGTTACGCAGCTTAGTCAACTCTTCCAACATTAGTTGGCGAAATTCCCCCAACGTCTCACGTACAGACACTTCCATCGCTAACAATCTTTCCTCCAATGCGTCGACTCGGTCAGACATTTTGGGTGGCATGGACAACAATGCTAGCTCTTCTCGGGAATCCGGCAGGTCGGACCAATGATAGAAACCCAACAATAAAACTGAATATCATAGGTATATTATTCAAGTATTATGCAGAATAAAAGTTATGGAGCTGAAAGCTCTACAATCACCAGTAAAACCCAGAGTGCTCTCACTCCTAACCAGAGGATGACTCTCCTCCTAACCAACTCACCACCTCTCCTCCCTCCTCCCTTCACACTCTCTATTCTCTCTCCTATAACAGAATTCCCCTCCCCTGGATTCCTGACACGTCATTCCCCTTTCTAACTAACTTCCCTTTCTTTTCCTAACCCCATTTTCTTTCTTCTCACGTAAACCTTCCATATTTTGGGCCTTGCTCCCTCTATAATTGTTTCATGTTGATTAACAGGCCCATCCTTATTAGGAGTCCTATCACCTTCAAAGAAGTTCATTGATTAGTATTAAACTATTATTAATTTCATTTCATTTCCCAATTATGCTGTTCCTCATAGCTTCCCTGTATGTGCATAGTATCTAGCACGTTTCCATTGTATGTTTTGTGATGCAAGTATAATCATCAGGTATATTTCATTATCTTCAGGTGCATTGAAACTGAAGCGAAGGACACATCGGGGACTTCCTTTATTCCCCTTCAAGAGATTGCTAAATCCAACTGCCTTTAAGAGGAAAGTTAAAAAAAGCAAGAGCAGAACTTAGCTGAAGTAATTTTTTTTTCTGGATTATTAGTGTTACTTGGCGTAGATTGTGCTAATTTTTTTAAAATGTGTTAATACTAGTATATTTACTAGAGTGTGAAGAAAATAGTGTTTACAAGTCGTGGGGCCTATTTTATTCCAACTAGACAGAAAAACTATCCCCCTCACTTTTGAAGTCACAAGAAGTTGAAATTTTGAAGAGTTTTATGAGAACTTGAATTCATATCTGGATATTTTTGAATACTAAACCTTGACATAGATTTCCAAATGTGTATGTATGAGTTTCTGTTAGTGTAATTAAATTCCTTAAAATAATGCAAACATAAATTGAAATTAATGTATCAAAATTGAATATATTCGGGTAATGTGATTCTTTTAGGGGAATTAGGGTAATGGGGTTGAAACTGAAGTATCCAACAATTAAATATACTAGGGTGGTGTTTAAAATTTTAATGCAAAATGTAAAATTATCGTTAAATGCTTCTAAAATGTCACAATTGTTTTTAAGCTAGTATAAGTTGTCTTGGGCACACCTTGTTTGCCCCACCTTTAAAAGGACAACAATTTTTCTAGTTGCAACTGGCTGTTCTTTGATTGGTTGTTTCTCCTTTGTTGTTGACAGCTAGATACACTGTCCGTTCTTTTGGTATCAGAAGAAATGAAAAGATTGCACGCTGTCACTGTTAGAGGTGACAAGGCAGTGCAGCTTCTGGACAGTGGATTGAAGGTGAAGGATGAATATTTGCGAAGAAACTTTAGTGATATTGGGTGCTTTGGCTTTGGTATTCAAGAGCATATTGACTTGGGAAACAAGTAAGATTAAAATCTCCTGCAGTTTTTTGTTGAATACATGTTATTTATTGTTGTACTTGTTTTGTTGTACTTGAAGCTGTCATTTACTGATACAAAGCTGCAAGGCTTTTTTATTTTCATTTGTTAAATATAGTGAAGAAGATTAGGAGAAATCTCCCTTATGTGTTTAGCATAACATAGGGTAGTTCTCTATAATGTAAGATGAAGGGTTAAAGCCCTAAATACGAGAATAGGGGCCGCTACCGAGGCCCAATTAACAGAAATACACAACTTACATCTAAAAAGACCGTTCCCCCCTCAAGCTGGAGCAATAAATCATATGTTCCATGCCTTGTTACAAAGATAGTAATTCTAGTCCTGAACCAAGAAGGGACTTGGTGAATTGTTGCCAACTGAGTTGCTTGATTCGGAATTCGAGTTAACGAACTCAGTTCTTGATATCTCCGGATTATGATATTTTTCTCTATAAAAATGACAATCAACTTCAATGGCTGGTTTCTCATGGAAGACAGGGTGTAGAGCTAATATGAAGAGCAGCTTGATTATCACATATAAGTGTCATGAGTGACATCTCCAAATTTCAATTCACTAAGTAATTGTTTAAGCCACAGAAGCTCGCAAGTAGCAGATGCCATAGCTCTATATTATGCTTCTGCGCTAGACCTTGCCACAACACTTTGCTTCTTACTTTTCCAAGATATCAGGTTGCCACCAATGAAGAGAACACACATAGCCAGAAGTATACCTCCACAAGGAGGAGAACCACCCAAAGCATCTTGAAATAGCAAACGATTTGTTGGATCGTTGGTAGGCCCATATAAAACAAAAACCTTTTCCAGGTGATCTATTAAATACTTGCATATGCGAACAACTGCATCCCAATGGTCTTCACATGGGGAGTTTAGAAAGTTACTAACCAGCACTAACTGCGAAGGAAATGGTCAAGTACGCGTAACAGTAAGATGTTGGAATTTACCAACTAATCTTCTGTCCGTTCATGATCTGAGAAAGGCGTCCACAGGATTTGGTAAGAGTTGACTGTTTAGGGTGACCAAGGTGAGGGTCTCAACAGATTTACAGTTCATTACCTGTTTCCTCCAAAGAGTGTCTAAACGACAAATACTCACGCTCTGGAGAATAGGACAATACATCATGATTGGTGCTACTTCAAATTACCCAAAAATACCAGCGGGAGTTGGCCAAGATCTTGGTTTGAAAATGATGACAAAAGGTGTTGTTTTCATCTGCAGAGCGTGCGAGATAAGAGTCAACTTCCTGTGAGAACCTAATATCATCAACATACACTATAAGTAATATAATTCCAGCATCCGCGTCACTGCGCGACATTAGCAAAAAGTGTTTGAACAACACACAGCTGAATTGGAACCAAACACAGGCCCGAGGAGGATGTTTTAGGCCATAGTAAGGATTTGCGAAGCCGAGGACTACCAATCCAGATGACTCCCCCTGAGCAACAAAGCCAGGCGGTTGCTCCATATAAATTTCTTCATGCAAATCACCATTTAGGAAAGCATTTTTGACATCAATTTGGTAAAGAGGCCATTGTCGAAGAGCGGCCATGGTAATTGAATAGAGAACGAAACAGAGGCCATTTTGCCACTGAGAAAAAGTATCATAATAAGTCCAAACCAAAAAATCTGTGGGTAGCTTTGGCCCAACCAAGTCGAGCTTTCAAACGATCAATTGTGCCATCAGAGGCCAACGCTTGATAGCATACACCCACCTGCAACAAACAACAGACTTTCCAGATGGTAATTGGACAAGCTCCCAAGTTCACTTTTATGGTAAGCACTTAATTCATCCAGCTAGCTTGACGCCACCGATGACTTAAGGGCATCACCCAAGATTTAGGAATTGACCAGAAGAAATGGCGAGAGAGGACAAGTGTAAAACAGATGGAGATAATCTATTGGGAACTAAGAAACAGACGCATATATGAAGGTGGGGGGAAAGGGTTAGGGTAGAGCGTATCCGCGTTACGGAGGGAATAGGCAAGCTCAGACTCATAGAATGTGGAGCCGGAGGAAGACACGAGGATGGCTGCACTGGACGTGAGTCAGAGGGAGACCAATTGCAGGCGATCACTATAAACACTGAAGGGGGGTGGTGAAGGAGATCCGTGTGAGGGAGGAAGAGTTAAGTAAGCGAGACCAAAACTTGGTGAGGAACACCAGGAGGATCACAGTAAGAGGAATATCAACAGTAACAGGGAGAGGTACATAATAGAAGATAAATGTGTAAAGTAAAAAAGAAGATTATCAAAGTGAACCAGCAGAGATAAAATGACGATTGAGGGAAGGGAAAAACACTTATAGCCCTTTTGTGACCGTGGAAATCCTAAGTAAGATACATTTGTGAGACCTGGGAGATAACTTATCAGAGACCAGGACTAAAAATCATGAACAAAAAACATGTAGACCCAACAACTCTAAGAGTAAGGATGTGAGGGTCCTTGAGGAAATAATATAGAAGAGGGATTTTGTTTGCTAGGACGGAAGATGGCATGCGGTTGATAAAGATAACATGCCGTGAGAACAGCATCACCCCAAAAACGTAGAGGGTCCTTGACGAATGATGAGAAGGGTTACAAGTTGTTTCAATAAGGTGTTATTCTTGCGTTCAGCCACCCCATTTGTGAGGGGTATAAGCACATGAGGTTTGGTGAGAATGCCATGAGAAGCCATTATCACTAAGTAAAGTGCGAATAGAAACCCCAAACTGGTTTTTATTTCATTGAAAAGTTGAAAAATAGAAAACAACTCAGAACGAAGTTCTTCTGAGAAAAACAACCAAGACATCTGGAATAGTATCATGAAGGTAACAAATAATTGAAATTTCCAAAAGTTGAGCTAACACGGACTAGTCCCCAATATCAGAAGAAACCAATGAAAAGGGGGATGACGGCTCGTGTGAAAACACTACGGGAAAGGAACTACGAGTATGGTTACTAAATGGAAAGACTCACACGTCAAACTGATAATTTGGACAGACTCGGAACAAGTTGCTGCAGTGTGGCATATAAGGGGCATGACCCAACTGGAGCATGGAAGAGGGTAGTGGTGACTCCATGATTAGCCAGCATGTGGAGACGGGCTGAGATGATATAGGCCATGAGGGACTCACCATCCTGTGGCCAATCATGTGTTTCGAACTCTGGTCCTGCCAAACCAAACAGAAACTTTGTAAATGAAATAACCACAATTAACGGGAAGCAGAGAGGTTAGACGACTACGGACAATAAGTTAAAAGGCGAACCCAGGGACATAAATAACATTATCACTTGATATGACGAAGAAATATGAACAATACCATACCATGAGAATGAGACTCGAGACCCATCAGCCATCGTTACCGAGGGTAGATTAACCGACAGTGACAAGGAAGAAAACAGTGGACTTGTTAACCAGTGATCTGTAAGTCGGCACCTGATAGTCAAGGACCAAGATCCGAGGAGCACAGTTAGTAGACCGACAAAGGAGTCAAAGTCCATGGGCGTGTAACAGAAGCAATATGAAGTGGAAACTACGAGTGCTGACGGTCTCCTTCTATACTCAGGTCGATGGCAGGAGATTCCGACGAGACGTAAAGGTTTCTTCATGGTATTTGATGAAGTGGTGGATCTGCAGACGCTGACTCCGGGCAGGTGGAACGAATCTAGCCATTGTATAGGTCAGAAGGGTACGTCCTGAAGTGCATAACATCTATCAATTTTGTGGCCTAGCTTGCCACAAGTGGGGTCACATTTTGGGAGCCTTACCTGTTCGAGACACGACACAAGTTTACGGGCATGCCTGGACAGCCGCCCGAAATCCTAAAATTCAAATCCGAGTTTGCACCCTAACTCTCTAAAAATTCACTGCTTTTGTTTTTGGACGCAACACCACAGATCCAGAAAGAGGCGAGAGAGGCGATCACGGCCGGGTGTTGTTACGGCGTTCCCAGATCCAGTTTAAATTAGTACCACAATGTTCTATTTTATTATAGATATAGTAGCATATAAATATATATATATCGTATAGATAATATTACTATTACTATATATATTTGAATAGTACATCTAGATGATATCCTTACTATATTCTATACACTTAATATATATATATATATATACTTCGTTTAGTGTTTGGAATTTTTTTTAACTACACACTTTTTTTTAATTGTTGACTTATCATGAAATCAAAGTTACACATTTCAAATACCTTGTTTCTTATGTTCAAAATTTTTGTGCAGCACAAATGATATATGTAATTAAATATTTATGTCTAAATTTGAATATTTCTATGTTTTTTATATTTTTATGTGATTACCTTATCTTTTTTCACATGAAATATTTAACTTTCAAGAGTGTTTAATAGACATAAACCATTCATATTTATTACAACGGTAATATAAAAACGTTTACCTTTTACATTCTGCTTATCCGGTTACATTTTTGTCTTATCTAGAAGAATTCTTTCTGTTTAACTGGAAAAAATTCAGTTCTTATTTTCAAAAGTTTAACTAGTTTGATATCTTAATTTTATATGTTTACATTTCATCACGATATTTTTCATCTTATCAATACCCTGTAACTGCTTTCATTTATTTTTCATGGTTGTGCAAATTTGATTCATATTGTATCAAATTGTTTCATAAGACAATACATTTGATTACTCTTACTTATTTTAAAATTTTTATTTGTTGTTTATTTTTATCATGTAGTATGTTGTTTTCATATTTTTTAGATAAGTATTTTTATTTTCTAACTCATTATTATAAGTGTATTCTATCACCATATTGCATTAAAAATTCCATTTACTATCATATAATAATTTAGTGTCATTATCATGAATTTAATATAAATGTAATTCTATCACCATAATTGTATTAAAAAATCCCATTTACTATCATATAATAATTTAGTGTCATTATC